ATAATTAGGACCGGAGGAGTATATATTAATAAATATTTATGTGTAATTTTATAGACTCTTGAAAATTTTGGAGTAACTATTATGTGATTATTTGTAAGCTAAAGAGTAGCAAGTAACTCTAAAAATTCTTTCATGTACATGTGAATTGTATATGATTGTATTATGGATTTACTAGTTTTTATATCATATTGAAAATATATATTATGATTTTTCAAATAAATGTTTTATTATGTTACTTTATTTTATTAAGATTTATTGCTATTGATCAATATTTAAATATATTGATGGCTATTGAATTATAATGAGTTGCTGTTAAATGGTACAGAAATTTTATTACTATCTTATTTTAATAATATATTTGAGGGCGTATTTCTGATATAACATTATTTGTATATGACATATGCACTGTTGGGCTAAGGATAGAAGGAGATTTGTATTGGATATAAAATTACCATGTGGTATGTCATCACTCGATGTACAATAGATAGCATTTGTCAAGATCCATTCTTCCATGTTTTTCTTTGGTTGGGAATTCATTGAAATTGTGAGACATGTGACACCTCCTTATTTTATTTGCAAAGAAGGGGAGCCATAGTCTGAATTTGAGCTCTATATCTTTGGTCGAATATATCTCCAGTTTTGGTAAGTTTGGAATAATTCAGTAAAATAAATTAGTTCCTATTAGACTATGTGTTAGCCTATAACTCTAGTCAGCAGTATAAGGGTGGACGGTCATATAAGGGAGGATGCATATTGCATTATTTTTTGATATATTAGAAAATGATATATTGTTGAATTGAAAGTGACATTGAAATGAATATATAAATCCGTGATTTTCATACACAAATATATATACACACACATAAAATCATATTTTTGTTTGTCATATATAGTTTGCTTGTATATGTTAGAATTTCAGTAGTTACTGAGACATTAGATCTCACTCCTTATATTAACATTTTCAGACAAAGGATCTAGTAGGAATCAAGGGAAGGCACCGATAGATTGAGCTGTGAAGGCTTCTATGCTCCTCAAACACATAGTATGTTATATTTTTATTTACTATGACTATAAGACTTTAATAGTTTATTTTGTTAAGTTATGTCAGAAAAATGTTTTGAAATTATGTCCTGTCATGAATGTTAGAAATACTTATAGACTTTTAAATAAAGTATTTTATCATGTATGTGGATATAATTATATGAGGTGTTATAATAAAACTGAGGGCTCTAAGACCAGTGAACTATTCTTAGCATGTTATATTTTTAGACTTGTTGATAAGTATGAGTTAATTATGATATTTTGATTGTTGATTAATTTCTCAAAGCTATGCAATTTCTCCACCGTCATGGATTTAAAATGGACATGTTACTTTAAGAATTGACGAGTAGCGTCTGAAATTGTTTGACCACTGAAATCTTATCCTTGTTTAAGTGTTTAACCTCTAAAATCTTATCCTACTGAGACTTCTCTAAATTTTAACCCCATACATGTGTAAGTTTAATTTTTTTAAACACATTGGATGAACGTACCACCCTTACTTTCTGCACTGATTATACTTGATCAGTCTATATGAGCATAGTGTCATCAACTACCTCCTACTCCGCGTGGTCCTTACAAAATTACTCATTAAGCAAGCCCCGGGAACATTAAACAAGATACTACCTCCAATTTTAAATATAAAAATGAGTTGACTAATTTGGATAGAATAAAAAAAAATTTTAAATAAGTTATTTATAATAAATAAGTGTTGTCTTTTCTAAAACACTCTTATTAATCATGTGTGCTAATTAGAACTATTATTCTATTACAAAGGCTATTTTAGAAAAAATAGATAAATAGGAAAGATAAAATAGATTGGACTTTTATATTTAAAACTAAATTAAAAATCAGACTAACTCTTATATCAAAAACTGGAGATAACAAAATTTAGGGAGAGATAGGGATATGAGTTGCAAAAAGAGTGGATGTCGGGGAAAGGAAAAATGAGAAATAGAAAAGGCAATATTTGGAGCATGCAAGACCCAGGACATCATCAGATAAGCCAATAAGGTTAGCCAATTAGCCCATCAAATAAGTTGATATTGTTCGTTAAGCCGGTACAATGGTCAATGCAACTACTTTGTGAGGGAAGCCGCATAGAAATTTATGACATCATCAGCTTAAATGGGAAGAATTATTATAGAAGCTGATGTGATCATCAACTCTCACTGGGGAGTTTCATAATAGTGTTACTAATTAGTAATTACGTCATAATTTTAGTGTTCTTGATGTTTTATATTTTCGACATAAAAAGGGAAAAAAAAAAAAAGAATAGGTGCAGCTGCTATTTGTTAGGAAAGAATTTATGTGAGCATAACAACACTTGTTTTTAATTACAAATGTAATTGAATCAATTTACTGACATGGTAAAGCACAATTGGATTACGTTTAATGGAAATTCCAAATCCAAATACGCCAAATAGTTTCAACAAGAACGTGGTTAAGGGAAGTTACATAAAGGAGGGAAGCAATCACAGAAAGAAAAGAAGAAAAACCTGACAATCACAAAGATTATGGCCTAAAAGAACAAGAGGAAGCATCAGAGGGAGAGAAGGAAAAAACCATATGCTTCATCCATTATTTTCATCCCTAGCCCTTCACAGTGGAGCGCATTGACGTTCTCATGTTTTCTCCCCTTCAATGGCCACTTTCTGAGCCCATTATTTTCATCCCCTAGCCCATAAAATAAAGACATAAATTCTGAGTCTGGATACAGGCTTTTGTTAAGGCTCAAGCCTTTAAAAGGTCTAGTCAGGCCCGAAACATTTTAAAAGAACTATTCAAAATGTTAGTTTTTATTATCCAGTGAACCAATGAGAAGATGCCAATTAAATTATTTTTACACATCAGCACTTAACACTGTTAAACACACAGTTAGCCCTCTAAAATTAAAAGGATTTACCACACAATTCATGGAGACGTTGTTCGGTTCGTTCTACTAAAAAATCATACCGCAAAACCCCAATCAAATTTAAGGATTCATGAAATAATATGAAAATTCAAGTGAAAATGGGAGCAATCATGATCCCCTCGTGTCTTTTTTCCCCATATTTGTTATCGAAAAGTCTGTGGGAGTTTTGATGATGAGTTCATCTTCTTCTTCGATGAAATTGCCAGTTTTAGAAGGGACAACGTGACGAGCGTCTTCTTCCTGCTATAGCTCCTCCGTCTCGTCAAAAAAAGAAAACAGATATTTTAGTAAGCTAACGCGTGTTTCACAGGGTTAAATGCTTATGTGTAAAAATAATCTAAGTGGTATTATCTGATTGGCTCACTGGATGTAATGACCCGAAGGTACTTGACCTAAGCATTGTCCTATATATAACTCCTCAAGCTTATTTAAGATCTTATACTATGCCCTAAGTAAGGTTCGATTACATATGATTTAATTATTTAAATAAATTTAATTTAAATTTACAATAAAATAACAAAATTCTATTAATTATGATATCTCCTAAAAATTTATTCAAACAAAATTTTTTTTGGTTAGGCATACATAATTTGTTTATTAAAATGATAATAAACAATTCTAAAAATATATCATGATTAAATTAATAATCTAAGTTACTAACATTGAGGACGCTATTTAATTGTATTGTTGTTTTACAATAGATAGGCTTAATTTAGAAATGCAATTATAAGCTTTAGATGAATCAGAACTACAACATGGTATTGTGAGTTCTTAAACAAGAAGTTATGGACATGCTAATCAACCAATATATATATATATATATATATATACACCTGTATGTATAAAGTACATTGTTGATACAACATTAAAAGTTTCACCATGAGTTCATAATCTTCAAATTGAAACTTCATAAAAATATATTTCATGTCGAGAAAAGAATTGATGAAAATATGCTTAGGTTCATTCCAAAATTTTAAAAGAAGTAGCAATAGGTTATATGAATAAGAAGAATTTTATAGAAATAAGGTATTTTAAGAGTCAATAAAAAAACATAAAAAGTTCAAATATAAGGCAAATTATATTATCAATATAATAATATAAATTGATTTAGGTTATACTACCTCCAATCCTAATTATAAGACCTCGTTTGTAGTATACAACCGAGGTTTTATAATTAGAACCGGAAGTGGTATTGTATTTAATTATATACAATAATGTAAATAAATTAATTTATATTATATCATATATAATCATATAAAATCACAAAATAAACAAGTCAAGCCTGCAAACTTGTGGGTCAGGCTTTAATTAAAGGGACCGAGTCTATTTACCTAAAAAGGTTCATAAATAAACATGAACCTAGCCTTAATCTATTTATTAAACATATTTATTAAATAGGCTAGACCAGATTTAAAGTAGGCCAAGCTGGCTTCTGCCTACTTCCACCCTTAATTACGCATTGAGGAGAGGATAACAGTTACAAATTCAGACGAACACTGAACAAAGACACAAGCCACACGCAGAGGACACGCTACAACCGACTATTCTTCCCCCTGGGCCAAATTCAATTCCAAATTCTCCACACCTCCTACTGAACTAAGGAACTGATTTATAGACTCAAAAGGGTGACTTTCCCATTATCAAAAACAACCCTTCATAGCCTATGACCTTAGTCACCCTACAGCTATCCTAATTTTCCACCTCTTTCTCCAAAATAGAAAGTCAAGATTCTGACCCACAAAAAGCATCTTTTTCTATTTTCCTAATTTTCCAAAAACAATCCTATCACTCTCCCTATGTTCATGTTTTTAAAGGAAGTTGAGATTCACTGGAAACATATCCAAAACCCATCATGTCTTCCCCTGTAAGATTAGAACCTGGAGGACTATATGACTTTATGAGATAACTCTGTAAAACCGGATTTGTTGGCATTATTTCATTCTTCACTGGGGTTACTTAATCTTTGTTGGTTTAACACATTGGGTGTGCTTAAACTTATATTTCCACTATAATCTCAAAATGGATCAAAATAGGAGGGGGATGAAGATTTAAAACCAACTCCTTCACAGATCAAAATTATAATTAGGGAAACTTTTATCTTTCTATCCACATATCCTCTCCTAGCTATCCACTCTGGCAGGTGAAAGTAACTGGAGACTGAGAATAGGTAGATTAGCTGCTGCTACTGCCACAAATGATGGATAACTTGCTGAGATGAGCAAGAGAGAAGATCACCACTCAATTGCTGGAATTTGAAGTTGTAGACTTGCTTGCCAAATTAGAATCAAGTGAAGGCGGAGGCAGATCATTCTTGAGCAACCCTACATGATCTGCAGAAATATCCATCACCTCCGGCTTGCTCCGATGCTTCCCATCACTCTCTATATCCCTCAGCATCTCCAGAACTTCCTCCATTGAAGGCCTCATATCCTTCAAATTCTGCAAACACTGAAATGCCAGCTCTGCCACAGCATTAATCATCTTCCTCACCTTTTGATCCGACTCAAACCCAAGTGTAGGATCCACCAGCTCATGCAGTGCCCGGTTCTGGATCTTGTTGATTGCCATGGTGGACAGATTGACCTCGTGTCGATGACGTGCGATGTCTACAGCTGGCAATGATGATATCAGCTCAATCAAAACCACACCAAAGCTATACACGTCACTTTTGTCAGTGAGCTTATAGCACTCATGGTACTCTGGGTCAACATAGCCTGGAGTTCCTTGTGGGGCTGTGGAAACATGGGTGACATCTTCTGGGAAGAGACGGGACAATCCAAAGTCTGCAACTTTAACAACAAAATGGTTGTTTAGGAGGATGTTGTCGGTTTTGACGTCTCGATGGATGATGTCTGAGGAATGAAGGTATGCCAAAGCACTTGCAGTTTCAATAGCTATGTTCATTCTGATATTCCAAGGCAGTGAGCCTGGCTTTGCTCGATCGCCATGAAGATGATCAGCGACTGTTCCATTAGGAATGTACTCATATACAAGAAGGAGTTCACGACTGTGCCGAGAAGTGCAGCCATAGAGGGACACAAGGTTTGTATGGCGTAAGCCTGTCAGGATTTGAACTTCGTTTATAAATTGTTCTACTCTCTTGTAATTGTTCTCGTACAATCGTTTCACTGCAACATAACGACCGTCCCGAAGTTTACCTGGACATGATACATCATAAGATCAAGGAAGTGAGTACTGACAGTTATGAAATGTTAGGATTCTAGAGGGACCAAATGCGCAGGATTACCAAAGTATACTGTCCCAAAACCTCCATCTCCAAGTTCTCTGGCTGAATCGAAATTGTTAGTGGCCTCTTCAAGTTCACTGTATGTGAAGACGGGGACTCCGAAATATCTACTTGCATTAATCTCAGGATCGTCCATCTTCATGGAGGGAACAGAAGAAGCAGTACGTGATTGTACAGACGACTTTGCATAAGTGGTCTTCTGTCGACGTTGATAGAAATAAAAGAGAGTGAGCATGACAAGCACAACGACTGCAGCAGTTACTCCCCCTGGAAAACAGAACGGTAATGGCTTTCAGTTAATATAATTGCCAAAGAAACTTATGAAACCCAAAGTAAGTCAAGAAAAGAACAAAAAGCAAATCTATTACCTACAATGATTTTGTATTTTATTGAATGTCCTCCTGTTCCAGCAATAACACACAAAGAAAGCAAAGTGGAGTTAAATACTTCGACGAAAGAACAAAATAAAGGATACAATATAAAAAGTTATCCAATTTAACCATAGTGATATGCATATGAATGCATTATAAAGACCACTAGCTTTTCAGATGAGTTACATCCTTACAGAAGCAGCAGAATTTATGTTTATCAAAACCACAGCGTCCACCACTTTTTACACAGTACTGAAAATCAGGTTCAGGTGGGATCCATTTCAAAGCAAACCCCATCTTTAAAATTTCAGTTGTCACTCGTTCGCAACAAGCTGGTTTAATTATCAATACCATTTATGTACACATTGATCCCGTCATTCATAAACTGGCATTGATGGTAATAGTTTTTATGATACAGTGCCTCCTTTTGAAAAACCGCAAAAAAGGGAAAAAAAGAAAAAAAGACTAGCATCTCATACACAGCCTACTTCGTAAACGGCGCAATCTATAGGTTCTTTGGTACGGTTGTGGAAACAAGACATCTCAGGATCCGAGATAAATAGAGATTGAATAAAGTTGTGATTATGTGCTGAGGTCGCTTTTGCAGGAAAGCTTCTTTAATCGACAAGATAAAGTGCAAGCGACAAGATAAGATATATATAGATCTTTAATCGACATCAGGGTGCTAAATAATGCATCATCTTGCACTTCTGTTTCCCTGAACTTCCCAGCATGTTTGTGGACTTGTTAAGGTTTTCTTCATTCTTTCTGGTGGGAGGGGCCAGCAAGGACCAGCCAAAAATCCTCATTGTAAACTATATTCATTATTTTGCAATAGAAGTGGCTACAGCCTACAGCTGATGTGGTTGTAGTTAGATTATACAGAAAAGAAAAAGCACAGGTGATGTGGCCATCGTCCTCAGTAATGGTGGCATCACAATGACACTACTGCGGGGCAACACCTAAATGGCCCCACTCTACCTCCCACTTGAGTTAAATATCTGGCTATGAGGTGCAAGATAAGGAAGACGTGCCAGACTGGAAATATGGAATTCCATGACTTGCAAGTCAAGGCCACTGCTTCGTTGACATCTAAAATCTCCAAAATACCCTCAAGATTAAGTAGTTTCCGGACTAATAATTGCCCTCGTTCAGTAATCTTGCCTGGGAAGTCATTTTCTTTACTTTTAATAGACGTCTTAAAGCTATTTTATTGACAATGACACTTAATTAGCTTCTCATAAATGGTTGGATCGAGTATTAGCTTATCGCCCACACACACACGGCAAATCCTACTTCAATTCTGCTGGGCAAGAGGTGAAGTTGACTTGGACATTTATCAAGAAAAGTCGTCCATAATTTATGCACAGCATAGTGAAGAAGCATGTTCGTGGCAGATGCCATCTGACAATTAATATTCAAACTCAAGTATGAATGTGGAACAAAAATTATTAGAAATGTATTATTAAGGAAAAATGCACAAAAGAAGAGAGAATTGATAGAATCCCAAGCAAAGAAAAGTTAAATCAATCCTAAGAAGTAAACAGAACGTGAGATGTACGTTCCTTGACCCATTCAAATCAAAGGTAGAAACAAGGCCTTTCAAATAAAAACTCCGGCTTAGTAAGAGTCTATTCCCCATTTGAATTCAAATTAATTTATGGCATCACATTGATTCGCTACTAGAAAAATGGAAATGCAAAATGACACTCGTTGCAAACTAAACATCCGATAAAAATGAGATTTAGTATTTATATGGAAAAATAGTTTTAAAATGATAATTATTATTGGCAATTTATAATATATGTGGAACATTTTAAAAAATTAAAAGTCTCCCATGCCGCTATAATATCTAAGAAAATTAATAATTTAAATTTTAAAACAATAATAGTTCAGAAAGCAACTACCTTTTTTTCCCAGACAGAAAGCAACTATATTAATCTTCACCTCTTCCCAAAAAACCTCTGTTTTGAAAGTTTTAAACACTTTTATTTTAATTTTTTTACGGAACAGTATCATTTTAATTTTCATAAATCTATGACCTGCCACGACGGCCCCTCCGGCTGCAAAAGTACGGCCATTCTCAGGTGAAAGAAAAGGAGCGATGGAGGATTACAGGAAGACCTCAACAAGAACAAAGGATGCCGGAAATATCAAACTTGATCGTCCCCGTGAAAACTAAAAGCACAATCGCTAGAGAAGATGGGTTCATCGTACCTGGTCAGAAATAGGTTCCAGCTGTGATTCAGCTGTCTAATTACCAGTTAATTGAGTTTCACCGGAAGTGGAAACAAGCCGTTGGAGCGTTTATTCCCTTTATCTTACTGAAGGCAGTCAAATTGAATAAAGGCATCTCTAAAGTCTAAACTAATAATATGCAATCATCGCAGCACAAGCGCAGCATATAGCTAAGCATAAATATGGCGTGGCAAGTAATAAGCGAAAACTCTGGGAGGCTAAAAAAGGGGAGAAGAGGAGAGGCGCTTACCGGGAGAACTGGAACGATCGGAAGGAGGGGAAGAAACAGAACAGTTAAGAGGATGATGCCCATCGGGGCAATAGCAGATAAACGGAAACGTATCATTCGACCCACATATTCCATGAGACTCCCAGCATTTTCCGCAAGACCGATCGACATCATACTGCACACGAAACCCTTTACCCAAAGCTTCTTGAAGGGCTTGGATTTTATGTCGAGTATACCCATGAGATTCTATTGAAAGCGGCACCTGAATACGATGCTTACATTTGTCAAGACCGTGCTGGAATGGCATGTCAGTATGGACATCTTCCGAATAGAAAGCATAGTTGCGAGAATTAGAATTAGAGCTTGTCCCAGGGTGGCATGGAAATTGGACTTCCCCAGCGGATTCCTCTGAGCAGTGGTAGAATAGGGTCACGTTCTTCACAGACGGCTCATCATAATGGAAGAGATTGAGAGGGGTGCTCACAGAAGTGTTCGTCGGAAAAGAAGAACAATTATCATAGACAAAGTCTGTTCGCACCAGTGTCATCCTGTAAGTGGATGAGTCAATCTGTGTGACATTGAAGGTCTGTGAATCGATGTGAATGGAAGGGAAGTTATCTTCATCTTGGGGACAATCTAGCTGGAACTCAGGTCTGCCACTGCCACAATAACTTTTGTCTGACCAGAAGGGGTAATCGATATTTCGAACTTTTCCACAAGGGGATGGTCCGCACTCCCAGTCTTCCATGCCCGGTTGAGAAAGGGAAAGTGGGAAAGAGGAAAGGAAGAAGAAGAACGTGAGGAACTGCACATGGGCCTCCATTGTTAACTCCCTGGTTGATTTATGACAGCATGCAGGCTGGGCTAGCTCAGCATTTATCAGTCACAGCTTTCGGGTCAAGGCAGACTTTGACTTCACAATGGGAGGCTGCGATCCTCTTATCATCACTCATTTTCCTGATTTTCCCAAGAACAAAACGCCCCAATCCTAAAAATCCTATCTTCCTCCACGTTTTTTTTTCTTTTACCACTCTTCCCCCACATTTCATAATTCTATCGCCAATGTCTGATATGAAAACCAATTAACTAATTTAAGTATATTAAAAAAACTAGTTAAATTAATTATTTATAATAATTAGGTATTGTTATTTTTAAGATATCCTTACTAATAGAAGTATCGTTATTACAAAAATTATTTTTAAAAAGATAAATAAATATGAAAAATAAAATAAATTAGGATTTTATATTTACATCCAAAATAAAACCTAAATAAGTTTTTATATTATGGATAGGAGGTAATATATAAAAAGTACGTGTTGACTATTCAATACGTATTCCAGACAGTCACAAGCGAAAATGTTCCTCCTCGCAAATGCTCATCAGGAAGCAACCCCACACCTTCCCCTCCCGCGTGCGCATTCAGTGCTCAAGATGAGCACCCGGAACCAGATCCTCTCAGCGGCACTTTTTCTCAGTATCTCTCAGAAGCTCAAAATCCTATCCGCTCAAATGATCCAATATCTCATAATGCGCCACATCATCTGACTATCATGAGATGCATCTGAACCGTTTGTTTCAAGGAAACGGTAGCCATTCATTTTCAGATCCAGTAAAACATTTTTAGATCCATCAGATGCGGGCAGAGCAGCGGCCTTCCGCAGCTTTGTGGCTGAAGATGGCGGGAATTTAAAAAAAAAAAAAAAACTGCAGCTTTCTGATGAAAAAACTCATTTTTGCAACTGAGCTAGCATTTTGTTGCTGGAATATGTAACTTCTTTGTTTTAAGATGTTCTCCATTTCATGCGTAGGTTCTGTGTGCATTTTGTCTTTAGTTCTTTATTCAAATATGGAAGAAGGAGAAGAAGAAGAAAGAAAAAGGATTTAATTATATTTATTTTCAAATTATAAATTATTTTCAAGTGACTTTGTCTGCATTGCTAAAGTAAAGGAGTCGCTGAAAATTCCTCTATCAAATTAAAATTAAAATTTTCTAAGTTGTGAAAAAAGTTGCTTGGTGGAGCTCACTTTCAATGTAGGGGGAGATCAAAGGAACATATAAATCAATGACTACGTTGAAAATGCAAAAGAGATCAAGTTCTGAGAATACTCTCATCAAAGCTTTCCTCTACCAACAATGGCTGGTGAAAAGTAGAAGAGCTCATCAATCTCAAAGGAACACAGTCCTACAATTGCTGTTTTGTGCATTTCTCCCGCAGGAAGCTCTCAACCAATGGGATAATTAAATTTTGAAAAAAAAAACAAAAACTCAATTCCTTCCTTCGTTTTCCTTCACTTAGTAGCAGAAGGCTCTCATTATCTTTAACCAGCCCCACTACCTGCTGCATGCTTGGCCGTTTCAATGGAAGATTAGCCGTGCAAAGATAACTAAGCTTGATGGGCTCCTCCATTTGTTCTGCCGAAATCGTGTCGTAACCTTGCAGCTTCGTTCGTTCTCACCATTCACCAGTCCTCTAAGCCAAAATAACCAAAGTTTCTTCTTTTTTATCATCATAATCATCCCCAACAGGTTTCTTAATAGTCATCAGCTCAAACAGCATAATCCCGCAACAGTACACATAAGTTTTGGTGTGGGGGAGTTCTGTTTAGGTTGGGAAAACTCAAGTGGAATATAATCAGGCAAGCATCAACATGTTCGAAAGCTTTAAGGCAATCTGATTCAGGAAAAAAGAAGCTCCACTGCAAACCCAGAAACTGCATTGGGTCGCAGAGCGGTCGATGCTTAGAATATTATACAATCATCGGTGCTCATCATCTGATTCAATTTCTCATCAAAATCGCTCCAATACTATAACCTCAATACAAAATGGCCCCCATATACAATCACCATTGTTTTGATTTTCTCCATCTACGACAGTGTTCATTTACGATAAGCACTCGCTTTTCAGTCGCAGACTGCATTCTTTCTTTAATGGAATGGAATTTGGCCGAAAGAAGGAATTAAATGGAGAGTCACGGTTACAACAAAACGGACGATTGAGAGACAGTTTTCAAAACCACATGATGTGTCCCCTTTTGAGCGCTCAGATAAATTTAACGAATAGGATTTATAGATTCTGAGAAATACTGAGAAAACCGATACTGAGAGAAACCGGACCCATGAGCACCCAGCCCCACACCTTCCCCTCCCGCGTGCGCATTCAGTGTTTCTCAGGTGATGAGTAATATGGGCCGTCTAGATCTAATCTGGACGATCGAAATTTAATATTTTTAAATAATTATTTAAAAATAGAAAAAATTATATTTTTAAAGAATGATAATTAAAAGATTATCTTTATTTTTTATCCTATACCTATTAAAATAATTATTTAAAAAAAAATAAAAATAAAAATAAAATTAAATCTGGACCATCTAGATCAGATCTAGACGATCCAGATCTGATGAGCACCCAATGCAAATCCTTCCCCTCGTCATTTTCAGACTATTTTAATGCCCCCGTGGTTAACTCTCATTACTCTGTTTAACAACAATCTTTTTTTTTTTCATGTATAATTCAAAGTATCTCTAAATCACTTTGTATTTGGGACTATTGATTCACTAAAACCAATCTTAATACTGAAACGATACTATTAAAGTCTTATAACTTATGTATACCGATAGTATTAATAATATTTTTATACCGATAAAATTGAAATATTTTATAATTTAGGGAAAACCATATTGAAGGTACCTATACTTTCTCTTCATTTTTAATTTGGTACCTATGTGTTTTTTTCCCTTTAATTAAACATTTAATTTTATCTTTTTAGTAACATTAGCTCTTATAACTTTGTTTTATTGATATTTTTAGTCTCTACATAAGGATTAATGATGTTAATAGAGGAAAAATAAAGATTTAATTAAGAACAAAAAACACATAGGTACCAAATTGAAAATTGAAAAAAAGTATAGGTACCTCCAATATGGTTTTCCCTATAATTTAATAAGGAGTCACTATTTAAGTATAATCACATTAGGGAAAATTTCAGTTGTAAATGAAGATTAAGCACTGTCTTTCCTAAACGTGTGATTTCATATTTCTATTTTACCTGTTACAAACTTGCCCCTTTTCCCTGTTCAAAGGTTTTAAGGTTGGTTGTAGATACTGTTTTGATATAAAATATGATATCTATTCAAATTGATAATTAAATCTACATCATTAAATTTATTTTGAACGTACTACAACCAAGAAAAGTTGGATTACTGGTAAATCAAAACCCAACCGGCAACTGAGCTGGGTACTGTAGAAGACCAATCATATACGAGCGAACGGGGCGACCAAGCCCTTGATTTGTTCCATCATGGATGGGGTATTTATTGAACTAATAGCTTTTAATTATGTTAAGACTTTTCAACTATCAAATGTTCCCAGCGAACAAGCTAAAGGCTTAATTAACAAGGTGAAAGTGAATGAACTGAAATAACGTAAAGAAAAATCTAAATTCCTAAGAATGAATCATGAATGCCTCAGAGTCTCCTTAGTGACACCATCAGCTCTTGTGCATGGAGGGTACTGAGTTTTTCTAAAGATGTAACAAACCAAAAAATTCTATGACAAGAAAAGAACACTGATTTGCATGTCGCAGAGCAACTACAGGGCCTAATAGAAGGAACAGAGAAAGAAGCCATGAGAATGAAACACATGAAGGTGAACCTCACAATGTAGAACTAGTACCCTGGGAATCGATGCAATAGAAATTGATCCAAAAAGAAATCTCGCTTTTCTCTGTCATCTCTGCACGAGGTGTTGTTCCGGCCGATGGAACACCCAGGGGCATAGTCATAGAATATGGTCATGGTCACAACGGTTGGGTCGAAAGGAAACAGAGTGGGGTCCAAAGAAGTGTTGGTGAAACGAAAAGAACAATTGTCGTAGTTTGGGGTGTCTATTCGCACCATTTGACGATATAACGAGAAGGATCGAAAACGATCAAGCTGAAGTTTTGGGAGCCAATTTGAATGGAAGTCACGTTAGGAGACAGGCACGTGATTTCGAAACCATCTCTCCCACAATAATGGAATCGGTTCCCTCCCCGGAAGGGGTACGATATTTGTGATCATCTTTTGGACTCAGGGATTATGGCAGAGCCGGTGTTAACAAGAGGTAGAAGAAGAAGAAGAAGGAGTTGCAGAGTGTGCATGGAAGCATGCGATTATGGGGATTCCTTACGTTAGAGAATAAGAGTGTCTAGTGGTGTTTTCGATAACCACTTATCGTGACAGTCACAAGAAAAGAGAGGATGAGGAGAAGAGACAGAACCTAATGGAGTTTCCTACTTTTTCTACTTTCGATGCTTTGTAACTTTGTTGCTTAGTTCAGTTCTTTCCTAAATGTACATCCTACTCTGCATAATACATTATGCTAGACCTATACCAAATTATTAAACCATATTGAATCAGTGAATCTCATCTCTTATCGTCATTTTATCATAACACAAACACACTACTCTTCCCATAGCACAAAATTAGCTCGATTAGATTAAAATCTGTATTTATTCAATCTCATTCCTAAGATTTAGCGAGCGTAATGAGCTAGACCATGAGATCAAATTTGAACTAGCAGCTCTACTAATGAAAACACAGTAATAACAATATCGTGAAGATATGAAGTTCATATTTTGGTGCTTCCTAAAACGTGATGCCCGATAATTATTTAACACAGAGCTGCCTCTTCTTCCTTAATTTATTTTTCCTAAATGTCCTATTCTGCATATTATAATATGCTAAACCAACCAATTCAATTAATCTCTGGAAGGGGAAAGCCACCTAACCTGTTTAAGAAAATCAAACGCTACCATCCAAAACAAATTAGGATCATCATTTTGTGAAGCTGGGAAGTAGAAAACATACTCTGCTGTGGCTGCAACAAGGGTTCTGGTG